CTGCTGAAACCTGGACATAAACTCTGGCTAAAACCTGTATTCCATGATGTGGACTATGAAAGAAAGAAGCTTAGAGTTATGTTAACTTCATAGCAAATGAGGACTTCTGCAAGACAGGATTCTTCAGAAGCTGGGTAAGATGAAACAGTTTATGAGCCTCCTTTTTTTGTCCTCTGGTCAGGAGAGATTGAGCTTGAAATTTGTTTGTTTGGTCTGTTGTGATGTTTCAAGCTGCAGGAGTAACAGTCTCCACAAGCTCTTTATGCACTTCAAAGTTCAGGAACTGCTCCCTCCCAACCCACATTCTAGAAAACAACTTTAAATATAGCATAGTCATGTACAGACAAGTTTGGTAGTCTGGGGTGAATTAAACCTTATACCTTCAGGTGCTTCTTTTCCAGGAACTCTGGGGTAGCCACAGGCTATATAGCACAGTGCAGCCCAACTTCCACTTCTACATGTCATATGCACAAGCATTTAATGGATTGAGGCTATGACTTGTAATTGTTTTCAAACTGGGTCGTCTCTCCAAGAAAACAGCAGCTTTGCCACACACTGTTCATTCCTCACTTTCCTCCCGCTGGTAACACTTCTGTCAGACCTCCTTCAGACAAATACTATTTCTTTCCCATGCAAACAGGATCAGCCAATCACGTAGTGATTACATTGTAGAAAATAACTACAGGACAAAACATCTATGGGGATAACTGGAAAGTTAATGAATTTTTTCACAGTTTCCTATTCCTCTACTGAACCTCAAATTGCAACGGGCAAAGCAACTTCCTATGCAGAGGAAGGCATGACCAGGAAAATACAGTGCTGAGTGCTTGTTTTTAGATACCTGGTGAAACTCTGAACTCAGACTTCAGTCAGATACTGCACATATTCCATATTCAAAGATTACAAAGGATCAGCAAATATCACTAGTCAAGCAAAATAGTATTCCTCACAGCAGTTAAGGGGTAGTAAGTCTGAGTTCTTCAAAACAGACGTGGGAACCCTGAGCATCTATGTACTCATATTTAGTCCAAAAAGGTCTTCTTAAAGAATGTGAGTTTTTAAAAACAGATGCAAAGGCAAAGTAGTATTAATTCACTTGCAGGATTCTGGAAGGCAACATAAATCCCTAATTCTGCTGGATTTTATGATTCTTTAGGAACAATCAAACACAATCCCAATTAGCACTTAAACATACTTAAATGCAGCCCTGAATAATGTCTGTCGCTGAAATAGGTCCCTTAGTCACTGTACTCTACATGCAGTGTTTGATCCTACTAGCCAGAAGTGCATTTAACAGAAAACCTGTATTTAAATGAAAAGACAGGACAGGGATAAAACTGTCAGACAATATATGGACAAAATATGAGTGTGTGCTTTCTACATCCTTGTATGGTCTTTTATTTATTATCACTGGGTATCCAAACATATCTATATATTCCTTACCTTTAACATACTGAATTCATATGGCTGATAACCTTTGAAACTTTCATGGATGGCTGCCATCGTGTGCGAAGTTTTTTCCCAAAAATGAAGAAGTGTTGTCTGGAAGGTAGGATAAAATTTCAAAGCAATGTTAGCTTTAAAATCAATCTGCTTTCAGTGCAAATTTCACATCTCCCTTCCAATACTAGTTATATATTCTTACTATTGAATATTGCCATGGTAACCTCTTAAAAAAACATATATTAACAGGAAATCTTTCTTTTGGAGGTCAACATTTTCTTTGGATACCTGATACGTTGTTAACACATGAGAAAGGAGGTTGCATCTGCTTGCTCCCAAAAGATCCACTTTTTGACAGACATCAGTCTTCAGTTTGTCAAAGTTGAGTTTTGCATGTCGCACTTGAGCTTGAACCTTCAAATAAAGGGACAATTGTTTATGTAGTAATTTTTTTTCTCCGTTTTCCTATCCCAGCTTCATGAAAGAGTAAGCTAATCCAACTTTTAGGGAAATCAGACAACTGAACAAACTCAATTAAAACTTATATAGAACTTTATTATAGCATCAATCCCACTGAAATTAAGATATGGCAGGCTGATATGTGCTAAAATATGGCTTTTACTATCTTCTATGTTACTATTTTTCTAATATATTCAGTGAAGAAATTTTATTTTCTAACCCCTGTTTATAAGATGGGTATTAGTATTAAATACATACTGAGAAGATAATAATTGGAAAACATACTCATTTTGGTTATCTCTTTACAGAAATACCAATTCAAAGCCTGACCAACAAATTTGGAACTAAAAGTTTACTACACAATATACAGCCACACAGGCAAAGATGTCTCCACGTACCTATAGTAGGAGACAAATTATACTGACAAACTTTAAAGCCGATCTGCAACTCTTGTTGACAATATAGCACTTGAATAACTTTGAACTACTATGAAAATTTTGCTCATTAAAGTTTTCCTTCTAAAACAGAGCGCTTTTCCTGTTTATTGCTATTAAAAAAAATACCAAGGTCCCCTTTCTTAGGAGCAAACAATTTCAGTTTCAAAGGGTTTTAGTTTTTCAAATTATTCTTCTACCACCTGTTAAGTATATACGAGACACTGTCTGTTACACAAGCTGCACGTGTTTGACAACAATACTGGTATTCTCATGATCAGGTATCAGGGTAGAAAGTTGATGTAGGCGTTGTGTACCCAGGATCCCCCATTTTTATGACAGCTTTGTACACTACCATAATACTATATTAACAAAACAAATTTGTTTATAACAAAATTTGTATACAAAATTTAGTTTTCTTCCAAGGAAATGGGAAACAATCAAACCACAAAGCATGATGATTTTCCTATAACTCTTTCACAGTTACAATAAAATGTTTACCCAAAAAAACCTTCACAGTGGAAATTAAATGAATGCAAATTAAATACATTTTCTTTCCTTTACTTGCCTAACTCAGAGAGTAAGCTGATTTTTTTCAGCATACGCAGACTCAATCAAACAAGATCTGACAAACTTGTATGCTCCTGATCTTCAGAAGTGAATCCAGAACCTTGCAGCAAGTGCCTGTGCTCCTTGTGCAGTAAGGACAGATACATACCTCAAAATGCAATCTGAAACGTTAGGGTTACCATATTTCTAATCTTACTTTCCCAAACTCACTTAGAGTATATGAGACTTCCAACCAGGCAGAAAAACAGCAGAAGTGCTGCATCACAAATTCATCAGATGACCTACTCACACAAATTGTGAGTTGCTGGATGCATGGCAACTTTTTTTCACTGATCAGATTGGCTCTGCATAGGTAATATAATAGGGTTGCATGTATCATAGGCCTGATATGTTCATAACAAAGAAAGTACCATAATTCAAAACTTCTGATAAATGCAGCATCTCACAGGTGAGATTTTAACTGCAGAAAAAGATGATGCCTAGAAAAAAATACTTCTCCCCCCCAAATAAAGAAACAGCAGTGATACTCTACCTTTATAAAATAGCTTTGTGGTTAGTGCATTCATCTAGAAGGGGAAGTCTTCCAAGACAACTCCACATATCACACCAAGCAATCAATGAACAAATCTTGAGTTCTGGTAATAACAACTACATCTCAAACTTCTGACCTGTGCCAGTGCTCTAACCACAAGACTACAGCATCTTACTATTGACTTGCTTTGTTGTTTTGGCATATTGAAGAGCTTCAAACCAAAGAGGGTTGTGCAGAGCTGGAAGAGTTCTTTGATAACAAGGAGATGATTTGGTGAGGTGGAGACCAATTTGAATTCCCTCAGGAAGGAGGAAATTGCTCCCATGGCTTCCACTCCTTAGGCAAGTATAACAAATGCTAAGCTATGATATAAAAAGCAAGGAGCACCTACTGCCAAGCTATCCCCCTACAAACTACAATATTTTGTGAAAAGCCTCACCCAGTCGGAACTACGCTGGCATGAGCTGAGGCTGCCTCTTAGTTTGGGATCCTCGAGGGACTTTACTTCTTTTAGCTTGAGGATCTGTGCCTGGCTGAAACCCAAGTGAGGCACTATGTTACCCATGCCAGGAGAAGTCCCATCCCACCCACAACTATCTAGTCAAAACAGCAGGTGGGTAAAGAGCTTATAATTAGGCAGCAAGCAGAGGAGGACGGGAGCAGTGGCAGAAGCAGCGGGGAGGCTTTATCCATTGCTGGATAACACACCTTTGTCCTGCATTAGGTCTTCAAATCCTTTATTTGCTTTAGCTCCGAGTGACTGAGAGCACGGATTTACAACTTTGGTCTAAACAGGAGAATTGTGAAGAAAATCATGGGTCTGTGCAAGAAGGTACTTCTAACTGAAATCCAAACATGAGATTACCTTATGGCTTATTATTGCCAGCAAGAATTGCTACAACAGGAAGGTATTTAAGTAAGAGATGTTGTAGGGCTCTGAAAAACCTAGTGAGACTTGAGACTAAATTCTGATCTCAGTTACAGCCATGAAAATCCAGACAAATTCAACTGATTCAATTTCCACTGACTCGTGGAAATGTGTCAAATAAAAAACTGTATTTTGCAATGGTGCAGCTGCGATCAGAATCCCTTTCCTATTGAGTATATCATAGCGCTGGTGAAAACATAGTAAGAACAGCTGTGGCTTTGTAGACTGATAGTCCAAGTGAGCAAAGATTGTTAGTTCTGGGGAATATAAATACTCTGTCAGAGATGGTCAGAAAAAAACAAAAGTACTGCTAAAAGTAATTATAAATTTCTACAACTGCAAGTCTGCACAAGGACTTTATACAACAGACTGGGATTTGGGTCTACCTCATGTCTCCAACTCCTTAAAAGAAGAGAAAAAAATCCAGAAAACAAGAAACCTGTAAAGTTTGAGTTGTAGTCTTCCTGCATACAGTCCTCAGGGATATTTAGCAAGAAACAATGTCAGCATTTATCTTAACTGAACATGTAATTAATGTCTCTTTTAAAAGCTAGAGCATTCATAAAGAGTGATCCACAACACAATGTGGAATACAAACCTGTATGTTTGACATGCTTATATAGATGATTCAAAATACTTAATGCTGTGTTACCAAATGCCACACATTTCTCCTGCCAACCAAGGAAGATGCGATACTATGAGAACTATTAAATTAAGGATGCTTTTAGGTTTTTTGATATACTGAAAGTTTATGGAGCAGAAGTACTCTCCATTTTGCAGCAGCAGTGCAAGGACAGCCTATAAAGAACACTGTATACTACATCAGCATGACCTTTTGCCTTTTATGTGTGCCAATAAATGCGTTTTCAATTCAAATTATTATTAGACATCTTTTAAGATTACTTGTAGCTTCAGGAATTAGACATAAAACGTTAGTGCTTACAAAGCATAATCTACTTAATACCACACAAGTTATCAGAATGAACCTTTGGTTTTCTACTCAAAGGAAAGCTGATGTAATACATACTAATCTTCTCCCTTCTCTGCAATTACTCTCTAAGACATGAGAAACAGGACCTCATTGTGGTCTCAGTCCTGCAAATTTTTATTCATATATTTAACTTCATTAAAGCCGAACGTACAAAATTTCTTCAAAATTCTGGTCTGAAAAGTGTCAGGATTTTACTGACTGTAAGAGAACTGCACCGATCCAAATGCAACTTAGACATTTTATGATGAAATAGCTCCTAACCATCTGACAATGTAGGTGCTAGCTGTGAGCTTTATGCTGTACAAGAAAATCTTATGGTACTACTGTTATAAAAAAGATTATTACTCTTCATCTTTTTCTAAGCAGCAACCAGGAGCAACCTGCTTTTAATTTCCCAGTGCAAACATCTAAGTACAATATTTACGGAACAGAATTCTTTAAAGCAAGCACATAAGAAAACATAAATTTGGAAAGCAATACCTTATTAAATCAATAGCTTGATAAACTGTAAGGTACCAGATAAAACTGAAATAATTTTAAAAGACTAAAATAAGTAAGTAAGTAAGTAAATAAATAAGTGTTAAAATCCTAAATCCTGGGGGCTTGAAAGTCAGATTCTGGTATGCTTGATTGTAAGGGCAAATATTTGCTAACACAGGTTCCTAAACCTGTATTCAAACAGAAAATTCCCAACCTTCAAGAGTGCTAACATAAAAAAAAAAAGAGCAATGTTCAGACCCAGTTAAAAAACCCTATTCAGTATATTCAGTTACTAAAATACATATTTGTCATGTATTTTCAAAGAATCTTTAAGTCCTCTACAGTACATCTGTGTTACTAGTTGCTTTTAGTCTACCATAAAACGCAAAATTTATTTTTAGTAGTAGCCCAATTTCAGGGACAACTCAGCTAGTGAAGCATCATCTCCAACATGAATTTATGTTGGATAAATGCACTTATGTTGGATAAATGCACTAACTCACTTTATATAGAATACATTTTTGTCTCAGCATTTCCAACAGCAGAAACAGATGCTTCCAGTCTAATTTGTCACCCAACCTCTCACTTACTCGATCTGAAAAGCATGCACAGCGTGTGTATAGGCTGGAATGAGGGTGGGTAAGTAAATCAAGAGGGAAAAATGCCTGGAGTATAGCAAACCTTCCTGTTGGGGGCTCTGGGTAAACTCTACCAGCAGATGGAATTAGCACAAATCTCTACATTAAATAAGCATAGCTCCTCTGGCATACCTGATCGTTGTAAAGACTACGTGAAAATTAAATGCAAACTGAAGTAGGCTGCAGGTTGAGGACAAAGTATTTAACTTATAGCATATCTTACAGCATTTCTGCATATAGCACAGAAAGTATAAGGAACTAGATTCTCAGTTCCCACAGAACTGTAATAACTTCATAGCTTGAGTTGTGTTATGACAAGGAGCACCCATTATACTTTTACAGAAGCATATATAAGCACTTGATGATGTTTTTTTTCCTTTTT